GCATTGCTGTATAGATATACTTCAAGAAAAATACTAATTTGCATACAACGGAATAAGATGATAAAAGGTAGCATGAGCAAATATTTTGTAAGATACTTCAGCGATCTGAGTCATCTAAAATATGCTTTTAAAAGACTTTTATTTACATAAGATTTTTATTTATTTATTTATATTGCCACAACTAGAAATCATCTATGCGTGGAAAAATCAACAGGTACAGTTCTTGCTGTTTAGTATACAATAATGTAGTTTTTAATGGCATTTAAGGCACCTGTAGGCCAAAATTTCAGTTGATTTCCTATGCGCTCGGGGCCGTATTCACGACAAAGCTCTTACGAAGTCGAAGTTCTAAGGCTAATCGTTTTTGAATTGTGTGAGATACATATACGTACGTACAGACGTCACGAAAAAAATCCTTTTGAACCCATTTTTAAATCCATTTTACAATCCGTATTGGAGAAAATTTCGCTTTTTTCTGTCAGTACATAAAAATCTCATGGAAATAATATATTCAAATTGATTCTGAAAAGATAAAAATGTATATGTTGGTTGAAATATGCTACCCGAAGTTTTTCGAGATTACAATACTTCCTTTATTTCGTAAAACAAAGAGAAAAATATCTTAAGAAAAATATTTGAAAAACGAATAGTACTATAACTTTTACAAAATGTGCCAGAAATGCATACGGACATGTTAGGAGTAATAGACAAGTTAAAATCTGCATTTCATTTCGAAATTAAAAAAAAAAAACTACCAAAACAGGGGCGTTTTTTACTTTAATTCTGACAGGAAAAGCTAAAGAGTTAATTAGACGAAATTAAAAATTTAACGTTCATTCTGTTTAAAAAAATTATCAACAGTAGTTAAAATTATGAAACAAAAATTTTACATGTGAAAGAAAAGATTTGAAAACTTCATTTATTCAGTCTTCAAAAATAGGCAGCAGAAGTTAAAAAGACGTGAAGACAACTTTACATGTACATTTAAAAAAAAAGATTTCAAAACTTATCATCATACACTTTTCGAAAATCATCAGCAGGAAGTAAAAATATGTAACCAAAAATATACATGTATATTAAAAAAATAAAATAACACACATATTTTCACATTTTGCTGCATGTTACAACTTCAGTTACTGTGCTGCCATTAAGTGTAAAAAAGAATGTGCTATAGTATACAGTATATATCCATACGTAAATCTAATATATAAAATTCTCGTTTTACAGTGTTTGTAACAATACTCCTCCGATTTTTATGAAATTTTATATGTATATTCGGTAGGTCTGAGAATCGGTCGTAACTGATCAATTATCACTTGATCAGTTATCCCTCCCCAGGAGTATACCGGTGTCAGTTCTCACCCAGTAAACGGCATGGAGTAAGGATGAGACCGAAGCCGGTCTCTTGTCTTTCTCACACAATAAACCTTCTCTCAACCCTTACGCAGTTTTCGGCCGTTATTATTGTTTGTGCATCGATCGTAGTAGTGACGTTTACAATTATGATTTTACTATCTCAGTGTAACTCTCATTTTATTTACTATATTCTCAAGTTACTATATTCTCATATTTGTTATTAATTTGAAGGACTATAATTATTTATTGCTATTTTATTAATAGTTAATAAAATTATTAATTTTGAGTGTAGTTCTCACGTTTAGTTAAGTAAGTGATTTCATATAACCTCAAAAGTACTCAACACGTGTCTCGAGATCCCGCCAACAACGGCTATTGTGTTACACGTATAAATTATTCTTATACATTTATTAGTTTTATTTATTATTTATTAATTTAGTTATTATTAAATAATTTTAGCAGCAAAAAATGTGGACGTCAGCAATTTGAATCTCAAAGATACAAAAGTTGTTGCTTTTGTATCCTGCTAAATGATGTCTGTTGTCCTCGGTGTCATACAAATCTATTGATACAGTTTGCGATGCCAACGAAGCTGTGAATTATCCAACAGAGTTTTTGAACTCATTGAATTTGCCAGGCATGCCACCGCATAATTTACAACTGAAAGTTGGATCCCCGGTTATTTTGCTTCGTAATTTCAACCCACCACGATTGTGCAACGGTACGAGATTAGTCATTAAAAAATTAAAGAGAAACGTTGTCGAAGCCATCATTTTAAAAGGCAAGTTCCGAGGAGAAAATATATTACTACCACGAATCCCTATTATACCCAGAGATGTGCTAATTCAATTTAAATGTCTTCAATTTCCAATTAGATTGGCATTTGTAATGACTATCAATAAGTCTGAAGGCCAAACGATGTCTGTTTGTGGCTTGGATTTGAGAACACCATGTTTTTCACACGGACAATTATACGTGGCATGCTCTCGAGCGGGCAAACCATCCAGTATGTTTGTGTTAGCTAAAGCTGAGCTAACAAAAAATATTGTACACTCTATTGCATTAAGGGACTGATATTGTTTTTAGTGATATTGTCATAATTAGTGATATATATAGTTTTAAAGAATAAATTACAATAAATTAAAAACATAAATGTTTGGTGTTTTGTTACTTTTATATTCCGTCATTGTTCACAGCGCTCCATGCCTCTTTCACTCATATACCACATCCTCAAACACTTACAATAAGTTAGTTATTTTTTTTTCTACCAAAATGTTCCCTAGAAATAATTTATATGGCAAAACAACATTTGACGGGTCATCTAGTTTGGTATAAAATTTGATGAAATTTGTTGCCATCTATAAGTATCTACTTATAGCAGTACTAAATAAAAGTCTTGTAATTAAAGTTGGAATCTTCTGATATTAAACATGATGAATTAATAATAGTATTAAAAAGCAGTATACGGTTTTACCCTGTCACAGTTTGCTGTTAGAAATAAATATATCTGTGTAATTTGAAGGATAAACAAAAATGTATTTCGTTTTGGAAGGGCAACAGATTGCAGAATTAGAAAATTAAGCGGTTGCTAATAAAAGGAAAATGCCCACCACATTTTGCATTTTATATCTAATTATGATACCTTAAATAATATGCATTTTTATGCAGTTTTATGCACTATTATATCTTTACTTACATAGTACCGTGCTTAAGCTTTTGATGTCCTTAACAACGTCACCGTAAGCGTCATGCGTGTACACATTTGTCATCTTCAGAGTCACTCCTTTTATTTCCCCATTTGTCTCGCTAACTCTCAGGAAAGTGGCAGTCGCCGTTAATAAGGGCTCAACTTCCAAATTGTTGTCCCCGCCATTAAATACGTCAAAGGTTAATGTACAATAAAGGCGAAGTTTTGAAAAGATTGCTTCAAAACTTATCACAAACTCGTTCGAAACATTGTCTTTTAATGAAGATCCAGCTATTTGAGATTAAAATGATGCCTGATCTTTTCCAGCAATTAGCAATCATTCTAGTATCTTTGACAGCTTATCAGCAGTTAGTTATTAATGCCAGACTCTCCTTAACGTTAAATTTATTTTTTTTAATTCCGATTAATATCGATTGAATTCTATCGGTCAGCGGGCATAGGTATATTGATTCGAGTTTCTAATTATTCCTCATTCTGACGAGTTATGCGATACAACTGAGTAGAAAATATTTATTTTTGATATTTTCTCTCTGAGTGCAATTAAACTTGAGTAAAATTTGATAGCAAAAATAATAGCACTCTTTTTCTTTTTCGTTAATTGTTACGGCTTTAATAACCATTCCGTAAATTTGTTCGTAATTATTCTACAGGTATTTAAAGTTCCATAGAATTGGAACAATTTAGACTTTACAAAATATCTTTAAAACACAGATCTTAAAGTTCCGTTTAAAAATATTTAAGTTTAACCTTAAATATTATAATATATATATAATATATATAGATAGATAGATTTTTATTTAAAATGAAGAATATACAAGGAAAAGTTTAACAGATAAAATTTCTGTGGCAAATAAATTGAAGAAAACGAAGATAAAAGGAAAAAGAGAGAAAAACATTGAACATAAATTAAGATTTAGGATAAAAAATAATTTTAATTAAAATTTAATTTAATTATAAGTAAAAAATAATTTATTTAAATTAAATTTAGGATAAAAACTAAATTTGTCAAAATTTGAAAAGGAAAACACTAATAAATTTTGAAAGAACAAGTGAAATTATGTTAGTTTAATAATAATGTTATAATTAATAACAATGTTAGTTTAATAACCTATTTAGCTGTTATGCTTTCTTTTTCTTCTCGACTTCTGTAACACTACTTGGTGCATTCCAGAAGTTCAATACAATTTTTTTTTTTTTAAATTTCACTAAGAGACATTTAAGTAGCGCCGAATCTTAACTGCAAAACTGTCAACTGAGTAAGAATTTTTTTGCCGTTGAAGGAAGCTGTTTATTGCTTTGGATTGCTCTCGCGACGCCACCGTTGTCTGTCAGTATTTACCTGTGGGCAACTTAAGGGTTGAATTTGAATGATGAATAAGCTATAGTCAAATCAAGACTCTCTCCAGGTATCTATTTCAAGGATTTATTAAATTGAAAATATTAACTAATTTATTAACTATTTTAGTCCAACTATTTGTAACTGTTTGCCTGCTAAAAGTCTTGTGTTTTAATTTTTTTGAAGCACAAAGCTATAAACAGTTGAAAAATAAAAATGTTATTAATTGGCAAACAGCTATATGCTAAGTTATTATTCTTTAACTGACTATAACTTGCCTTAACATTCACCTAATCAGGTTGTTTGGTTTAAATCACATTGGCAAATGTTGTGATGAGTACTTTATAAGTTTTATTAACTTAGAAGCCAAACAACAAAAATCAGCGTTATATTTTCAAATTTTCACAGGACTAGTTTTGATGGTTTTACTCAACCATCATCCTCAGCTGCAAAAGCACACGCTGATTTTTGTTTTTTGGCTTCTAAGTTAATATTTGTTCGCCGTGTTATTGTACTTCATAAGTTCATTCAGTTATTTATGAGAAAGAGTTTAGCTTTTAATAAATGAATGTAATATATATGATATTCATATTTTTACAGAATTTCTTCTTTATGCTTTTCTGAATCTTACTCAAGTAAATGGAACCTCACACAATTCTTATAACAACATTACTCGCAGGAGCTGTACTATTCACCCTTGGAAATTTAGAATACTTCCAGAAAGGTGAGAAAAATATCCTAACACACAATGATTTTGTAGTTAACAACAAGTATTGCTGAATAACTTTCGATGAATTATTTTGTAATACATCTTCTAATAATTGCCTTCAGTATTCCAATTTGCTTCGTAATATTGAAATTTATCACAGTTATAGAAGAATGTTTTTATATTTAAGATTTTTAATACACTCAATCCCAAAATTACTTTCTCATTGCTCTGAGATTGTATGTAAACAATATTTGCCAAGTTTTAAATCCGTTTTAGAAAAAATGATACCAAAGCGAAATGTATAACTTTGTTCCTTTGAAAACAATTAAAACGAAAAAATACCTTAAGAATTCTTCGATAAAGATACTATATTTTTGATATAGGAGTGAAATTTAAAATTATTTATGGTGGATCGTATAAATCATCGTACAAAAAAGATAATGCGTATGTGTTAGTAGCTGCTAATTATTCACTGTTATGAGAAACTAAACTATCTAATGTAACCCATATAAGCTTAATCAGATAGTTTGAATTTAAGAGAAATGAAGCTAACATACACATCAGAATTTGACAAAAGTTTATCTTCTTGAGAGAGTAAATTGTTCTAGAATTCCAATTTTACCCTCTAAGAAGAGAATCTTGAATCAGATTCTTTCAACATGCAAAAGCTCTTCTCAAGAGCTAATGCCATTCTACGGTTGAATTTCCCCTAATTTTAAAATCTATTATAATAGTTCAGCGTAAGAGAACAGAATAAAATTAAAAAGATGAAAGATGAAGATTATGAAAAATATGTATTACATTAATTTTAACATGAGATTCCAATTTTAGATTCCATCAACATATGTTTTATCAAATATGAGAAGAACAAAAATTCGCAGATTTATATACTAAGGAAGGGGAAGAAATATCCAAGAATCTTTAGAAACAATAAAAGTGAACAACCCTTGAAGAACTAGAAAAAACATAGAAAGGAGAATTACCAAGCAAACTTATTGAAAACAAATGCTGAATAATAAGAAGAAATAGAAACGCCCTTAGAAAAACCTAAAGGAGAGCAAATGATTGGAAGCAATATACAGCGCATTGAAATATTTGATTACGTTATAAGATATTTCTTTCGTTTTCTTAGCATGCCTTCGTGGTGTAGTGTTTATCACGCTCGGCGTGTCTTCGAGAGGTCTGTGGTTCGAGTCCCGGCGAGGGCATTGCTCATTTTTCACATTTCCTGCTTCCAAAAATCCCTATTGTCCCTACAACGTATCTTAGAGATCTGTCAAAACGTAAGTACATTTTTCAAGTTAAAAATACGATTAATATAGCAGAGAACATAATTCTCGAAACTGCCTTACGTATTATTGCTTAACTGTTTGAATTATGTGTAACTAATGGAATTATATTTGTGAGGTTTATCTATGCATTTTTAAATAATAGTTCATTTTAAGCTAGCACTTATCTATTACTCTTTCACCACACTCTCTCACCCATTTTGCATTTCGTGAAAGAATGTAAATAAGATAGCAAGAGTTTATTCAGATTGCCACATTGTGCTGTGATTATTAGCAGCGCTGAATGTTCTAGCCATTAAGCTTTGACTCGCCGGTTTACTACAAATCAGAGCGTTTCCTGTGCGTTTAAGTTTTATAATCTTTTCCTGTGAGTATAAGTATAGTAAACGGTTAGGCTAATCTACTACACCTTGAAATTATTAGTTTTTACGTTATTCTGTTAAGTCAGAAGTGCTTGGTCATTTTTTATGTTTGAATAAAAGAGTCTTATACACTCTTCTTCTAATTTCTGCTTTGTTTCACAAGGCTAGAGGATAATTCTTCAATAGTTCTTTCAGAAATTTATGTTCCCAAAGAAACAGAGACTTTACACATTAAAAAAGTAAACAGAACTCAGATCTTACAGCGATACATTTTATATGGTTTACAAAATGAAAAATAATGAGCTGCAAGAAGATGCTATACAATTACTTTACAATTAAATTTGCATTAACATATTCAATGTTCTTTATTCCTAAATAGAAGATGAAAACCTAAAAATTAATGGAAAATTTGAACAAAATTAGAAGTAAAAGAGACTTTGAAACATCGTATTGAAGAGAAAAGAAGAAATGTCTGTAGCTAAAGTAAGTAGTACTGATCTGCATATAACGGAAAGAGATTTCTCTCAACATTCAGAAATAAACCTTCAGAGTATCACATATTTTCACATTGCATTATACATTTTCTACTGGAATTATTAGAAATATTTTCCATATACTAATAACCGGCGTGTTCTGTTTAGGTTATTACAGCTGAAAATTATTCTTTTTTTACTGTTTTACAATTTTTCGTTTATGTAGTCAACATACTTGTCTAAAATGATCTGTAATAAAATATTCCTCTTCATACTGATAGTATATTTTGCAGTCATGGTTCCATAATATCCATAAAATTAAATATTCAGCATTATTATTGACACAGCCCATTCCAACATGAGAATCGCCTTCTGTGAATTAGAAACATAGTAAGCCTAAATGATTCACAGCAAATAGCCAGCTACTGACTCTAGGAGTACGGTATTACTGCACTGGCTTTCAAATGTCTCGGATCTCAACTTTTGTGATGTAAACCGTAGGTGAATTTGAAAGGCCTGTTTGTAGTGAAGAATGTGTTTCTGTGGCTAAGCATCAGTTATAGGTCATTTCGTATTAGTTTAATTTAATATACGAATAGAGTAAAACCAGAACAATTTTCCTTTTGCGCTATATTCAATTGAAGCGATTTTGAAGTCCAAATATAGATCAACACGCTATTGATTTAGTAATTTAATTTGATATTTCAGTATATTAATTTTCAATACTATCATTTATTACAAAACGAAAGATTTTGAATAAATAAGATATGTTTTTGTTTTGTAATTTGTAGCTATTGGTAGCTTAGAGTGCGAGAGAAGATACAGTCGATCGTAAAACCTCTAACTGAGAATTGTTAGAGTTGAATTAACTCTAAGATTTTTAAGTAACAATAAATGACAATTAACATATCAGATTTTTGTTTTTTAAAAAGTAAATTCTATCACACATCTAGCTTTAAAAACAGAAATTCTACATCCTTTAAATGTGAAACTTTCGATTCTTTGCTAGCTGGTTAATTGAAAAAAATGAAACAACGAAATACTTGTTAAGTTCAGTAAAAAATTATTTTTACAATTATGTAATCTAGGCAATTCTGTAATAGCAAATTTAGAGCAACATTAAATTTTAAAATGCAGTAGCTGTCCATAGAATCTTGAATCATATTTCTTATTTATTTTTCTCTAAGAGCATGTCAATATGAAACATACTCATGTCAAGACTCCCATTGATTTTCTTCTTGGAACATTTATAAGAATCATAAGAGATAAAACTTCGGGAAACTGAAAGATAGTGATAGAGATGAATTTACTTTTCTCCTAGGGCTGTAAATATTTTCTGTTTCAAATTTCAGTGTCGGTAACTGTCTTAATGTAATGTTTATCGCTATGGTGAGTTTTTGAATACTTATATGAATGCAAATTTTATTTCTGATGGACAAAGCATTTCAGGTTTTGTTTACGTTAAAGGAAAAAGAGCTTCTTTTCAATTTCATTTATTCATCTTGATGAAACAAACTAAATTTGTTAGATATTGGTATTATTAATGCACAAATTTAGATGTAGTTGAAAATAAAAATAAAAATCTGATATGGAACACACATGACTTTCTGATACGGCCTATTAAATTATACAATTTGTTACAGCACTTCATTTAAACATAGTTTCTCGAATTATTCTAACTTAATTAATCGATCCCTCAAGTTGAAAAGGACACCATAATTGCAGATTTGAAGGCCAATATCCCAGCCAATTTTAATCGTAAGGAAGTCAATCTTGTTATAATTTTATTTTTGCATAACATGTATTAAACGTTTCCAAACTATAGGAACCAGGAGACCGAAATTTACAAGCATTTAATTCAAAAGTTAAATTTCGTCATTTGTGTAAAATATTTTTTTTTCTAAATTTGGCCGATTAAGGGAAAAAGGAACGCCAGTTAAGGGTTTGTAAGACGGATAAGGCGGTGAGTATATCTATATCTATCTATCTCTCTATCTCTCTATATAAATACACATATGGTTGTTACTGCCAATTGCAATAAAAAAGAAACTGCACAACTAGAACTAGATGTAATAGCAGTCTTGTATACAAAATTTCAACGATTAATCGTTTTTGAGTTATAAAGAACACTTTTGAATTTATTTTAATCCATTTTACAATCTACTTTGGAAAATACAGTCCTTTACTCTGTTCGTACCTATAGATGTAACGAAAAAAAAAATCATCCAAAGGCATTCGAGAACAGGCAAAAAGGATATTTATGTTGAAATATGATACCTGAAACTTTTCGTGGCTACAGTACCTGCTTTATTTCGTACAAGAAAGTAAAAATGCAAAATGATTTGTTTTTGGTTAATTTTTGGCTAGATTCTAGAGCACTGGATTCCTGTATGAGCTATTATGTGAAAAGAGAATAATCAAACTTTAAAATATTTTAAGTAGTCCAGAGTAATGAAAAGGTAAAGATATGTTGGGGAGGGGAAGGAAAAAAGCATTAATCTGAGGCAAATGTTTCGGAACGAAGCATTAGCAGTCATGTTTTAAGTCTTAAAAAACACGTTTAAATTACTAACTTAAGCTACAGCACAGATATATTTTTTCATTTAATTTCAGAAACTTAGACAAGCTGCTATACACATTATTTTTTGATGAACTAATTGAACATTAAATTGAATGAATTTTTAAAAAATGGAATCAGTAGATGTATTGGAAATAAGCATGCGAAGCTATCAGTTTTGTTGGTGCAGGAAATACGAAAAATCAGCTGTCTCCAGGATAAAAACCACGGATCTTCTGACTGCTAGTCGAAAATTCTACCACTTACAACACGACAACATGCAAAAGGAAAGGCTCTAATTTCTTACAATCTCCATGAATCTCGAATGAAAAGAGACGAACGAGACCAAGTCAGCCAAATCTAGGTAGTGACAACTAATCGTCCATTTAATGAATAACCGTCCATATCCACCACATCTATTTTAACCGGATATTACTTGTACATTTTGAATTTTTTGGAGAGAGAAACTATGCTTAGTCGAGACTTTAAACTTATATCTTCCGATTCCTAGATGGACATGATACCGCATGCACCACGAAAGCACGCACAGGGGAAAGCGATAAACATTAATAATCTGCTTCTTTACAGGTTTTCTAAGTGGACTAACTTGAGCTATCTAAATAGCTTCTAATTATAAATTCTATGATAATCTGAATTATTTAAAAATTATCAACTGTCAGTTATCTAACAATTCATCTAATAGTCGAAAATATCACTGAAATAGATTTATAAAGAAGCTTGAAGCTAAATGGAAATCTGAACTACACGTAATCTTAATTTCGTCCAATTTCTCCACCATAAAGTTTATAACTTAAGTTGAAACTATTAAGTTTTATTAATTTAGAGTTAATTGCAAGAGTGGTTTTAAAAAATATCTAAAAGATTGAATAAATCTCAAAAAGCTAAAATACGTACTGTAATTAAGTCACAACGAATTCTGTAACAACGAATTCTTACTTATAATTTTAGAAGTAAATTAAGAATTGTGAACCAGTGTGATCAATGGGAGTAAATTCAAAATTGTGCACCAGTGTGATTAATGGGAGTCAATTCAAAATTGTGCACCAGTGTGATCAATGGAAGTAAATCAATGAAGCTAAAAACGATGTAAAAAAATTCTACTATCTTCGATCTATTTATCTGTATTGAACAATTTCTGTATCGAATATTCTAAAAGAATGCCAGTTCCTTTTCTTTACAAAAGAGCCATCATAAATTATAGTGTTCATGATATCAAATTTTTAATGTAATGACATGTTTTTGAAAATTCTTTTCTATAGTTGAGATCAGCAGAGATGGTTGGGGTGAAACCAACAACAGTCACAGAAGTACAGCTGTCCTGTCCGGAGACTCAAAAGTTGATATCAACGAATTTCTTATTGGTGTCATAGAAAATTTCAGAGAAGACATGCTGACTGGTATTCCCGAACTTAAGGTACCAATTCTAGACCCTTTTAAAGCAAAAAAACCATTAAAAGTAGATGTGGAAGACAGTAAAGCTAGTGTCCATGGAAACTTTACAAACGTACTTGTAGAAGGTAAGTAAGTGTCTAGCTTAAGTTTTCATAATCAATACACAAAAAAGTTTTGGCTTAATAAGTGTTAAAAGAAGTATGATCCATGGCTTGACTCAATAATGTGGAATCAGTAAATATCTCAATTGAGTTTTAAGTTCGATTTCGTATATCTTAAGATATTTAAGTTCCTTTGATAAAGTATACAGACATTAATACGAAACACTCTTTCAAATATGAAACTCTGCCGAAGAAATGATACATTTTCAATTATTTCTACTACATATTTTAATGACTGTTTAAAAGATTTTACTTTTTTAGTACTTTTTTCTCTAAAAGAGATATATAAAAAAATTCAGTTAGCAGAGAAAAGGAAGTGGAGAGTATGATATACATTCCCAGATCACTGGTTTAATGACTGAGTATATTTGAAAAATTTAAACATGTCAGCAAAAATATTTTTAAATATTTATCAAGTAAAATAAATATTATTTATTGTTATTATTGCATAAAACGTTTGTAGCATACACATATGAATCTGCATAATTAGCGAATGTATTTTAATCGATGTATTTGTTACTTAGATTAATAGATGCATTTGTGCTCGCTTATTGCTTACTAATTGCACAAAGTTATGACTCAGGCTGTTTACTAAAATATATTAGTATTTATAAATAGCAAGATTAATTTATTCCTATGTAAAAGTACTTTATAATCAAATTATTTTCACTGTATTATTGGTATCTGATAGAGATATTGTTATTTTCACTTATCCAGTAAAATCACATCCTGGAATTCGTTAACGCGATCATGCTTCGGAAGTTATCAGCCGACGGAAAGAAAAAAGTATAGAAAGAATCTTATTGATTTCAACATGCGGATTTTATGTCCCGTCAAAATACAAATCCTTGCGACTTCGTTTACAGAATATATTTTTGCAAGTCTCGTGTCGAAGAAATTCAGTAAAAACATGTGCAGCTACACACTGAATAATTAAATCATTTCTTTATTAAATAAGTATACAAGTCACCATGGGGCGTTAATTTACCATGGAATAATATCATAGAAGTTTTTACACCTTCCCATTTTGGTTTTATGAATCTTACATTGATCATATAAAAATTTCAATTTGTTCAATGGCAGCATCGTTCTATATCTCATGTGGTATTAAATCTGAATACGAAAGACTTGTTTTGAAGATAATTTTATTAAAAGTAAAGAAAATAGCTGCATTTGGTGGTGGATTATGATGCTCTCAAGTTTTTTTCCAGTACATTAATTTTATTCGATTATTTATATACGTTTTTACAGTTCTACACAAATAATCACAAATACAAAAAATCCAAATGAATGCTTTTTTTTCCTTTTTTAAACAATATTAATTGTTGTCAAATTTGCGAAGAATGACTAGCATACACTTTATTCAGTTGCTAAATTTGTAAATAATATCCAATTTTATATTGCAGTTAAATTTATAAGAAAAATGTTAAATATCTTGTTATCATAATGTTAAACTGCTGGGTATCGATCTAACGGATAAAGTACGATGCTGCCATTGTAATTTAAAGCAGTAGAAGTTGTAAGGAACTATTTGAATTTGCCATTTGGTTTTATAACATTTTTAAAATTAGCTGAAGTTTAATATAGAGCGTGGTCTATGAAAATCAGGAAATTTTAAATGTAAATATGCGTGTCAAGTTTCAGAACAAGAAAGTTTAAAACACAGAAAATAGTGGAATTTATTTTTCCAATAATGTTTATATTAGCAAGAACATTGTTTTTAATGTTTCAGGTTTTAACAATAAATCTATTTTAGAGATTTTTAAATTATAAACTGAAGTTTTCAGATTGTTGAGTTTCTTTTAATGTTTTTATATGGCTCTTCTCTTTACACAGGTTTGTCTGGATTTGTTCTCGATTACCTACGTGCAGACCTTCAGAATCTCTCCCTCCGATTCAATCTTACAATTCCATGGATTAAAGCTGTTGGCAATTACTCGCTAAATGGGAAGATAATAAAGATAATTCCGCTGCGGGGAGAGGGAGAATTTTGGGTAGAATCTTTCAACTTGAGTGTTGCTGCCAAAGCTTCCATAGACAACAGCGACGAGAACCATTTACAACTTTCAAAGTAATATATAGGTTATATTTACTGAAAATAACATAATGAAACTTATAAATTATTTAAGAAAGTGTATAATATTTATGTGGCATTTTCAAACAAGTGTTAAAAATTAATATGTATGCATTTTTCAAACTAAAGCAAAGCCAGTTATTTCGCTCTCAGATTTGTTACCTTTTCAAACAATATCTAATGCAGACAACACCAGTTTCCTTTTTGATTTTATTGAAATCCCGGAATTACGAATTCATTTTGTAAGATGTTTGTTTTCTTTCACAACCAGTTTGAAGTTAGCCTTCTTATATACTCAATTTTTACATCAAGCGTTCTCATAAATAGCACTTTAATGTATAAAAAAGCTGTGAGATAAAGTTGGTAAGGCAGTATAATTATTTTTTATAAGTCAATTTCATTGAACTCCTAGCTATCTGTATAACGTCAAAAAGCATTATAAATTCAATTTCAAAATATCATAGCCACCATTATTTTCTTCTCTCCTTTCTAAAGTGACAATTTTCAACGAACATGTGAAGCGAATAATTATTGAAGTTTATTATCTTAATTTTTAAGCTTGGTATTTATTGTAATATTGCAGAGCTCTTTTTTCATTTAAATGTACGAACTCCACTTACACCACAAATATTCAACACTTACAAAAGAGATCTTTGATTAAATGTATAATTTATACTAATCCATTATTAACCATTAATTAAACATTCCATGCAAAAATAAAATCAACAAAACGGAGACCAGCAGTTTAGATTTCACAAAAACAGATAAGTTGATTGGTAAAGTCCCTCTGAACATTTTTTAAAATAATTTTGCAGTCGTTAATTTAGGGCCATCAAACGTAGGACAGGAGATTGTACACGAGTTCTTCAAAAGCAATTTTGTATTCTGTTTGTTGCAGATCTTCTTCTTGGTATAATGTAGCTTTTAGTACTTATTTGAAGAAGAGTTTAGTTTAAAACCGTTTCATGCATGGGTCTTTTAAAGCCTCTCATAAGATTAGTGGACCTAGCTTGCCTCTTAAATGACGAAAAAAATTAAAACTATTAAATAAAAAGGGGAAACATATACTGAACAGAAAACAATCATCTCTGAGGTCATAAAGGGAGAAGATTCTGCCTGTATAAAGCTAGCGTTGCTGGGTATGACTGGATTAGTTTTTAGTGTTTAAGGTTCCAAACGTAATTAAAGCAAATATGGAAGAGTGGCTGTAGCAGCAGGAATGAGAAAGTCTGCAGAATTAGGCGAAGTCAAAAATTCTATATAGTCAAATATAAAATTCTGCATAGTTAATAATTCTGTATTTTTGGAGGAGGAGAGGGATAATGAAGAGGAAACAGAAAGGATGGCTCATGGTGAAACATAGGAAAGCTTATGAAAGGGAAGAAGCAGGGATGAAGAAAGCTATTAATAGAAATAAGCTGAGATCAATTGCAGTTAAGATACTTTTCCTGCGGTATTCTCCATGTTAACCGAAAAAATATCAACATGGCTTAAGAAGGGAGGTGATATTTAATAGATTTCTATATGTGAAACGGAAAATATATTTTAGTTTTGTTCTTACTTTTATCAAACCTTGTTTTAAATAGTATATTGCATGTCGTTTCATTGAAACTCTTAACAGCTCATTTTTATAGACATATATTATCATTTTAAAATTGCCCATCATTTTAGATTTTCTGTACGTAATTGTACATTAATAGCAAAGAAATCAGAAGTTCAATGCGTCAGTTTAATACTGGTGACTGATATTTCCCTAATTGATGCGTGGATGCTGGCTATGCTTCTCAAGAATAGATTATCACTTACTAAACATTTATTTGTTAATTTTATTTTGACGTTAGGAGCATTTATAGTCTAATACTCTTGATTTTATGTGCCCGTATTGTAGTATTAGAGTAACATTTCCTAAATTAAATCACCCATGAAACCTGGTAAATTTACTGTTCTACTAATTGATATAATTTTACATGGCACATGACTTTTAGCATATTAGTAAACTTCTGTGTATATTTAAATCCCTTTGATTGCATTGTTGTAATACAGCATAATGTTTCATTAATTTTCTAATACAGGCTAATAATTTTAAAGTGTAATTTTGTGCAACTGAATTTATGGCCATATATTTTGTATATGATAAATTATTTCTTGTACAAATCTTGTAATTGTGAATACAGCAACTCCTAAATTCAAAAATAACTCAATTAGAACGGAAGGCGTAGGCATAAATGCTTTCCAAGAGCCTTGAATGCAATTTTTATCACCGGGCTAGCGATATATGGCAATTTCTTGCCAAATTGGTGAATTTCTAGAAGTTACAGGAAAACGCATTTTCAAAGCTCTAAGCTACCCCTAGTTTCCTGAAGCTTTCCAAGCCCATGCCAAACCATATGAATACGGCTTAGATAGCCAGAGATATGTTAGGTAATAGTTTTCAAAAAGACTCCGGTTCAAAGAGAGTTAGCTTAGTTGCGTTTTAGAGATTATGCTCAAAGCAATATAAACAGTTTTCGATATTTCTCGTTCTCGCGTGTATTACCTGCATTTCCAATAAATTATTTTCAGTTATTTATTTTGTTATGCTTTGTTGTTAGTTACAATAAATTGCCAAATTCTTGCTGTTCATCTGTGATAATTACTTAAAGAGACATTCTTGAACTCTAACAGAATTTTAAGGTGTTACAGTACATTGCTGGTAATAAACTGAACAATTTAAAAACAGTATATGTCTTTTTTATAAATAATACCAAAGTTTGATCGTTAAAAGACTTTTTTAAAAACTTGGTTCACATTCGGATTATTTTCGATTCTGATTTTCCAGAATTCTTTTCTTTTATATGAAATACCTAGGCTTAAACTTAACTGATACGTATTCTAATAAAAAAGTTTTGCATTACGAAAAGGAATCCTTTGATTTTATAAACTGCTGAATAATAAGTATATAAATTGTCAATAGTCATTCAAAAACGCATCTCCTGAAGCACACAGAGAAGAAATTTCCATTTCTTCAAGTGAATACTATGGGAATGTTACACCTGAGAACATCAGAAGGACTTATGAAGACTTAATGAACCCTACGATGATGTGAGGCTAAAATACTTATGCTGAAGAAATGTTTTTGATACTTGGAATTCAGAATAAAATGTTTTGATTGGATGAAACACTCTGAAATAGTTGAAAACTGATAAAAGGGCTGAATGTTTAAGAGTTCATTAAAATAAATTCACGGAAAATAATACAACCAATTAAAAAAGCGGTGTCTTAATATTTCGAACTTAATTGTTTTCTCTTTAGTACAATGGCTAAGAAAATAAAAGACAGAAAGAAGATATATCTATATTTTAAAATTCACAAGCCTAGAATTCTTTTTTTTTTTTTTTTCCTTTCATTTCTAGCTTCTGCTAATGAGTAGTTCTTTCTCTCACAACATGAAGTTTTGGAGTTCCTGCGATGCAAATGAAAAACATGTTAAAATGAAGAGTCTACCAAATAACAGTATGATGTTGTTATAAAGAAAAAACGTCTTGTTTACCAATTAATGTTTATCAAAGTATTCAATTTGTAGGCTATTATGTACCTTTCAATGACTTCTTAAACTTTGTCTTTCGAAAGAAAATTTTTGCCCCAATTAACTCAGTTCATTTGTTCCCAACGTAAAAAAAATACGGTTTTACAATTCAAATATGGAAGGTCTATTATGAAGTAAACATGCCTGCTTTATTATTTTTTGTTACCTTTACTCTTCCTTTAAATTGATTTTTTTTAATATTGTAAAATATCTTTTCATTTATTTAAGGGACTTTGATGTAGAAATGGATTTTGACAAAGTCCAAATGCATCTGGATAACTTTTTAGGAGGAGGCCGATGGACAGAAGTTTTGTTGAAGATTCTTAACGACATAAGTAAAGATCTTTTCAGGAAATTCCTTCCTCTGCTAAAGGTAATTTACTATTGTATCTATGTAAACCTTTTCCGAACTTGTGCTTATCTATTTAATTAATGAATTACTTTAAAGGGAAATAACCAAGTATTTTCTTTCGAATATAAAACAGAGCTTTGATTATCCAAACTCATTAAAGGATTTTTAAATAGGCAAGACACTAATAAAGTACGAAAAGAAGATGCAGATGCAATAAGCAAAATTCTTTAAAATATTTCAATGCATCCTTTCTTACTCGAATATTTAATTCTAGGATTTCCTCAATACGTTTACAATCACCATGTAATATGCGTCCACGCACTACAGTTTCTAATTCCTTTATGAAAGAGCTGTTTTATTAAGGTTTTGGGGGATCTCTATAATGTTTTTTTTAGTGAATGAATCTTATTAAGACATTTCAGATGCAAAACAAAATATGCTTTCAAGTAAAGATAAATTTACAACTAACAATTATTTAAAAATGTTAACAACTTAGTGACAAAGTTGGAGAGGATATCGTTATATCTTTCGTGTTATTAATTTAATTAATTAACTAACTATAAATAATTAAAAAAGTTAAACAACAAATCATTATCTGCGAATTATGATGAAACTTAAATGCAATATACTTCTCTTGTTTTGCTGCAAAATGGAATTCAATATCGGAATTAAATGCTTATCTTTTGAAAACAAATTTCTGTTTAGTTGAAATAAACAATGTTCGAAAACAAACTATTTTATCACTTTGCCATTTTTTGTTAAAATATGAACTTTGATTATTCTAACAAATCAGTTCTTGGAACCATTCCCAGTCTCACTCAGTTTGGAAAATTGAGACTTTCCTATATTCAGATTTTTGAAGCTAATTACAGTTATATTTACATAAAGAGAGTCCTAAAAATGTTCAACTTCTAATACTTTTTGTGCTTAACCGTTTGTGCATATAGGTCTAAGTAAGTTGAAAATGTAACGAGATGAGTATTATAGTCATACATATTGTTAATTAGAAGTTAACACGAAAATATTATTATTAATAACGAAAATAATATTATTAATACAAAATTAACGAAAATAATATTATTAATATAAAATTAACGAAAGTTATAACGAAATTAATATTATTATTATAGTTATTAAGGTATTAACAAAAATTATTACGAAAATAATATTGTCATAGTTATTAAGATATTAACGAAAGTTATAACGAAAATAATATTATTAATATAGTTATTTGTTTAATCTAAAGAACATGTGAATAAAATAAACTAAGCGTAATAAGCCACTTTCTTGTTTAGTTATTAGAAACGTTACTATACTCACCCCGCGTTGCTCTAAATAAGACAAAAGGAATGCCATGAGAAATTTCAGTGCAATATTTCATAAACCTGTTCAAGTACTTGTTTCTGCAGCCAAAATTGTTCTTATCCAGTTTCAGATTTAAATTTCAGCTTTTCATTTGTTCGTAACTCAATAAATTCTTCTTTTAAGTCTGCAAAGGCTTCTGAAATGAAATGGGTCGAAAAACGAATCAGGTGCATCTATTTCTAAATTAGTATCTTCAGATCGTTTCTTGAAATCCAATTTCAGAGCTTTCAAATGCTAGCAATATCTTCAAGTACATCTTCTTCATTTTTTCTACATTTGACATATTTGGAAATAAGCTAAATTCTCCCAGTCAAAGTTTCTTTATGCGTTTGAATCTTTGCCATTAACGTATAAATAAAGTACGTAACGTAAATAATAGTTTTGTTTTTTTAGATTCAGGCCATTATTTTGGAACTGAAATTTTGATTCATTGAATGCATTAGACAAATATGTTAGACACGTTAAATATGCTTTTGAATTTCTTAAATCTGCTTTTAAAAAGACATCTTTGTCTTCCTTTATCACTCAGTTGAAATGTTTGAATAAATAGCTCATTGACAGCCAGTGAAAGCAAAAGACCGAAACCTTCATCGTTTACCGTGAAGAGTTGCTCAAATAATAAGTCACTCCAAGATTTACCTTTGATTTTATTCATTGTTCCCATAACGAAATGAACTAACCTACGTAAGAATTTATTTAGACTTTTTGTTACTAGATGTTGCAATACATAAGACATTGTGTGACGAATGTATCTTACACCTTCGCTTTCAAATGTGTTCTCCTGAATACCAAAAAACACCTTTCGTAATACGAAAGGGTGATCCTTCTTTAGCATTAATAAAGTTCGAGCAAACAATAAATCATAGCAGATTGTTGACCCATTTTTAAGTATATATACGGGGGAATGTCATCATATCTGTTCCGTGGAAAAGTTAACTCATTATTGCAAAAAAAAAAAAAAAAAAAAAAAAAAAAAAAAAACTATTAAAACTACTAACTCTAAACTTTGTACTTACATAATCAAAACCTTTAAAATCTAAGGGACATCAAAGAAAGATATCCTCCCTGGTGTTTTGGTAGAATCACGATTAATTGACAAAAACAAAATTCGAAAATGCACTTCCACAACAAAATCTTTTACAGGCTATCTCTCACTAAATGAAAACTAATTTAGATCTCCAACCTGAAAACACATAAATTTCAATACTTAAATCTAGAGATAGCCTTAAACCTTAACATTTCAAATACCACACAGAACTCTTCAAAACACCGGGGAAAGATACAATCTCCCAATTAAGAAGTCTACTCAACAAATCAAAATAAATTCAGTAAACCGATCGTATAGTCACCAACTAAATTGATTTTTTTTCTACTACCGCAATATAATTACCCCAGGTTCGGTTGAAAAACCATGTTTCCGTTAGGATCACATGGGTGACCTACAGTAGACCACAATTAATACACACACACACACAAAAAAAAAAAAAAAAAAAAAACATACAATATTAAAGATAATAAACACATTTATTGAAAATTCCCACACATTATAACTTAAGATAGCTGGCCAGACTACCCCTACAAAATCTTTTAAAAGTTACATAGTTTTTTTTTTCCATATCAATCTCATATTTAACATTAATCCATTAATACAAAAATCATAGTGAAACACGTCACAGTTCTTAATCATTTTAAAGCAGGAACTCAAGAATGATTAAACTCATTTAAAAAGACTAATTTAGAATAAATCATATTGAACATAGCACTTAAACATTAAAACAAAGATTCACTTCCTCCAATTAGTTCAATTAACTTCTGACTATTAAACATTAAATAAAAAATTACTTTCTCAGTTAGAAATTTGGTAAAAATATTCAATTTTTATCTACTTAACATGTCAACTCTTGCTTTAGTATTAAACATTTCCAAATTTAAAAGGATTATGCATCAAAATAAAACCCCAATGAAAATTAAAAGTCACTCACGAAATCGGCGTACCACCTTTGAGAGACTCAGGGAGCTGCCCCCGATCTAAATTACAAATCCCGAAACAAAACTAACTCCAAATCTTCATCGTTGTTTTCCGGAACCGGAGCCTTTTCATAGTTCCAGTTTAAAGTTTTCAAAGTTTTCCTTCCTTTCCTCCGTTAAGCAGCACTTTCACTCAATCAACTCAATCAACCACTGAAAGAGGTCGAAACTGGAGACAAAAGACCAAAGCAGACCTCAGGCGATGACGACTTTCCATATTTCCATCTTTTCTAAAGCAAAATAGATACTCCAGCACGAACGAGCAGTTCAGACTGTTCCACAAATGGGAAAAAGAAATCTCAGCGACGAAATTGAAAATAATAGGCCGCAAGAATTGCCGCCGTCAAACATGTCGAGCACCCACACTGTCTCGGACCCTCCGTACCCAGAAATCTCGGAGATAAAAACTTAACTGTATACCGCGGTCGACCACCGAAGAACGCCGCCGCTTTTTTTCCTCCGCACCATCTCAGCACCTGACCGCGGCCGACCCCGTAGGGGCCGCCGTCAAAGTAGCAAACCCCTAATGCTCCAAAAACCCTCTTAAAAATCTTCTCTAAAAATCGCTTTTTTTTTCAAGTCCAAAAAGATCCCTCCCTTTTTCCGTGCAACAGCTTAAGAAACCTCGGTTTACACTCTCCAAGAAACGCCTCAAAATTACTATTGGTTCAAACAACACTAAAATTAAAAATTTAGCCAATCTTAAGGAAAATTGGACTCCCTTTCGCCAACTAGAAGAAAGGTAATAAATCGCCACTGAAATTCTCAGAAATTCAGAACTTTCTACAAGAAGACAGACCCTTTCTTTCCCACGCAACAGAAGAATGTTTCCAACCTATAACTCTGTCAAAAAATCGCTGCCCCTTAGAACTATTCGCCTCTGAACGAGAAAAACACGTGTTTTCAACCCCGCCAAAAAAAGGGGAAAATGCAGCTGGACAGTGACCTCTAACCTCCAAGGAAGCCGAATCGTGAGAAACGGAAATACACCCGCGCCCTTTTAACTGTAACACAATTCTGCCAAACTTAAAGGAGCTTTGCCGTAAAGTTTAACAATATTAAATATTATACATTAATTTAAAATAAGCTCAATATAAATTCATTAATCACAGTAAAATATTATAATAACTAAGAATACATTATGCACAGTAAAATAACACGCAATAATTATACACAACAAAAAATACATAAGAATTTTCCATAACAATTCCCCCACGGTACGGAAAAAGAAAAATTTTGAGAAACAAAATTTTTCTACACACCTTAATAATTACACAAAAATTATGCACAACTGCAGAATATTATTACACACCTGGAAGTAGTCACGGAGAACAGTGATAAGTACACACAACTATTAAAAATTTACCTACACTTAAACCAACGAAAATGAAAATTCAACTAAAACATTTAAATACAATTCAATTTGTAACTACAAAGACAGCAAGAGTGAAGTGTCACTGATACCTTTAATTACTAACTTGGTAACACAATGCTCATAACCAGATACAACCAAACAACTAGTGAGTAAATAAATAGAAGCATTTAATATCCTAACCAACAACAGAAGCAAACAACATGAACCAGAAAAGTTTATCAGCAATAACCTCTAAACTGAAAGGAAGTACAAA